AGGCAATAATACATGTAAATATGCTAAAAACTAAGGCATACACAAATTCCATTTTTAAAGGCCTGAGAGATAAAGGATTTATTTTTATAATGCCTAAAAGTATTTCATTTTGTTTAATCACCACGGAGATCAAACCATGTCCTTTTCAATTCAGATTTCCTCATTCATTACTCAATCTCACTTGTGTTATATTTCCCCAGTAGTTCACATGATACCATTCTTAATTTTAAAACCTTGAACTAAGTCCATCTTCCTCTAAAAACCATATAATTTTATACAGTTCAGCTAAGAATAAGAATCAATACCATTATTATTACAGTTTTTCTTTCTAACTGTAAAGAGGGGAGGATGTCGGGCAGTTAAGTAAGATGTTTCTTGCACTTGTATTTTGCAAAGTGTTTTGCATAGAGGACTAGTCATGATTATTGGTACATCAAAGAGTTTTAAAGTTAAATAAATCTAGGAAAAGCTCTTGGAGTTCATCATATTTATAAACCCATTATGGAAGTCTAACAGTCTAACCTGCTGAACTTTTTTTCTCTCAGTGTTTCTCAAATTTATTCAACATAGAATCTTTTCTGTTATCCAACAGCAAAGCAGTTGAGCAAAGATAATAAAATTTTTAAAATGAGTGACTATATATGTCTAACAAAGAAGAAAAGCTAAATGAGGAAGACTAGAAACAATGTCTGATTGTATTGCAATTAGAATGATGAGGATATCCTCGCATGAATAATAAATTCATACCCAGTCACTGCTATCTCAAAATTTCATTTTATTTTTCCCATAAAAAAGCAGACAAAAAATTCTACTGTAAATTCTTGAAGAGTGGAGCAATCATTCTCTTTCAGGACAAAAAAATTTACTAAAATTAGGCTGACATGAAAAATTGTGTAGTTGCTAACAAGTGGCATTGGTGATGAATACTTCATAAGTTTCCCTACAGACAGCCATGTCAATTCAGAAGGTCAACCACTATTTCTATTATAGACTAATGTTTACTGAGTAGTTACTAGGTATGTGTCATTATAATATGCTGAGAGGGCTTATTACCACAAGGAAGCTTAAAATAAATCGAGAAAATTCAAATTATTTCTACTATGTAGTAAGAACATTTACTGAATGCTAACTAATCCAAAGTCTGGAAAATGAAAAAAATAACCAATATTGGTGGAGCAATTAATCAATTAATTAAGAGGATTTATTCACATACGTATATAATTTGGTCTTATTATAATCTTGTTATTTAGGTTTCATTATTTTCCCCAAGTTACAGGCAAGGAAGCTGAAATAAAGATGAAATGAATTCCCAGGTTAGAAAATTCATAGGTGGGATGATCTAGCTTCTTTCAACATATCAATGACCACACTCATATACTCAACTTGATTTCTAAGACAGTGTCATGTGTCGTTCTCTTTGACTTCAAGGTAACATAAAATGTAATCTACATTCCTCTTGCCAACATGTCACAGATATAGTTTACTGCCAAATTTAAAACCTCAGATATGCTATTATTTTATTTTCAGAAAAATATAAATAGAGATGATGAGGGCAGGGGTGGAAAGCAAAATAAATAAACAAACAAACAAACTGTTGGCATGATGGCTCATATATTTTGAACTGGAAGCCTTAAGTAATCCTTAGATAAATCTAGATGATACTAATAACAAATCATGGCAGTAGATTACATGTTCTTTACATTGGTATTTTTGTTGCTTTACTTCATTCATTTCTTACACCTAAAACAGTTCCTAGCACATAGTAAAAGCTCAGTAAAGGTCTCTGAATGAACAAATGTAGTAAGAGTTTAGTTATTCTACCAAATGGACCTGGAAGCTGGGTTTCTTATTTTGCTAAAATGAGAAATTGACCTAAGGGTTACTATACATGTTAAAGTATTTTATTTAAAATGCTTAGCATGGTTCTGGGCACAGAAGAAACATTTAGTGTGTTAGCTGTAAAGTATGCTAATAAGTACATGAGATAACTCTCCAGAATTAACATTTGGTATAGTCTTTCAAAATCTGAAAGAAATGCAATCAATAGCCTTTGGGTTTACAGAAATGAAAGCAATTTTTATTTTGTA